ATAAGGTTTCAAACGAAAACCTTGAGTAACAAGAAAACTGGAATCCACCAGAAATTAAGAGAAACTCTCTTTGATTAATTTGATTAAAATCTGAACTGCCAAAAAACGTTAGACGAACCCGTCTAAATACACAACTCTCAACCCTTGTAACTGCTAGGGGAGTTATTACAAATAAAACTGAACAACAGAATTAATTCGGAGACTTAACTACGTAACTCCAAAACTGAAAAAAAACAGAATTTATTTTGGGAATTAACTATGTAACTCCGAAACGGAAAAACAGAATTTATTTGGAATTAACTTCGAACTTTGAATGCAGTTTTGAAAGGCCAAACGACTCCAGAATGCCAAAATCCATCATACATCACAGCAAAGCTGTGAGTTTGACTCGTGGCATCGTTCCCTTTCCGAAATGGTATTTTGCTCCCTAATCGGAGCTCGAACGACAATTCTGCAAATTCCCACCACGTCCCTTTTCTTGCTCAACCGCGATAAAATCTGCCATCTGTTCTACATCACTTCCAGACTAATAGTCTCAAGTTTTATGCCCCACACCTTGATAATGTGCGTTGTACTCAAACATTTCAGTCATTTTCCACGTATGAGTTCCCACCACAATGACCAGCCTACACGATCACTCTATTACCACAATGACCAATAAACCACCACTTTTCTTCCCTCTACCTTATTTATTGAAATCTGTTAAGAGCCGTAGAGTCACAAAGAGATCATCACCATTCGAGTCTGTTCCACTTGCGGACCATTGAATTGTCGTTGTTGTCGTGTTGTCATCCTCCACTCTCCAACAGTCCAAACCAGAGTATTATTACTTATGCCGTGTGGGTCCCAAGAACCCACCTACACAATTTGAATTAATTAATGGTATTGACCAACGGTACTTGTTATAAACATAATATTATAAAAGTAAATCTTAACTCAACTTCTCAACAGACAAATCCATAGCTGCGGAACTTGCCTCAAATTTCAACTCAAGTCCAAATCCTTTGCAAAGAATCGAAACATGGCTTTGGTTGGAGAGGCTTTTCTCTCTGCTTCCGTGCAGGTGCTCTGCGAGAAGATTGGTTCTCGTGAGTTCAGGGACTTGTTCCGGGGAAAGAAACTGGACGAGTCGCTTGTAAAGAAACTGAAGATAACGCTGTTGAGCCTCAATTATGTGCTTAATGACGCGGAGGAGAAGCAGTTCACGAACACTTACGTCAAAAAGTGGCTTGATGAGCTTCAAGATGCTGTCTTTGATGCGGATAACCTTCTGGATGAGATCAATGCTGAAGTTCTGCGATGCAAGGTGGAAGCTGAATATCGAACCGTCAAAACTCAGGTGTGGAACTTCTTCTCTACTTCTCTTAATCCTTTTTATCAAGGCATGAATGGTAGGATTCAAGAGTTGTTTGATAGATTAGAACACCTCGCAAAACAAAAGGATGTGCTTGGCCTGAGAGAAGGTGTTGTTGGGGGGAAGGTTTCTCAAAGAACTCCAACAACTTCCTTGGTGGATGAATCTTGTGTGTACGGTAGGGATGGAGATAAAGAAAAGCTGATGAACCTCTTGTTATCTGATGAAGCAAGCAACAAGGATGTATCTGTCATCACCATAGTGGGAATGGGCGGGGTTGGCAAGACAACCCTCGCTCAGCTCCTTTATAATGATGACAAAGTGAAAGAGCATTTTAATCTTAGAACTTGGGCTTATGTTTCGGAAGATTTCGATGTTACTAGGGTAACTAAAACTCTACTTGAGTCAGTCAGTTCAAAAGCTTACGATAATAAAGACCTGAGTTTTCTTCAAGTTGAGCTAGGACAACAAATAAAGGGCAAGAAATTTTTATTTGTGTTGGATGACCTTTGGAATGAGAACTATGGTGATTTGAGTGTCTTGCAACGTCCTTTTGCATCCGGGGCAAGTGGAAGTTGGGTCATTGTGACAACACGTAATGAAAGTGTGGCAGCTTGCATACGCACCATTCCGATTCACTTTTTGGAACAGCTGTCCGATGAGGATTGTTGGTTGTTACTTTCAAAACATGCCTTTGAAAATGGAAACTCGAGTGCGCGTCTGGACCTAGAAGAAGTTGGTAAGAAAATTGCTTCTAAGTGCAATGGTTTACCTTTAGCTGC